AAAATATAGCGGGTATCACTGCTGGGAGTGTGGGGCTTCCTCATCATTTCAGATACGACTCTTTCAAACTTGAAAACTTTATAATTCTGTCGCCAATATCATTTGTCAATGGTACTTGGGATGATACCGATTTCGAATGAAATTGGCACTGAAATGCTGAGTTCCAAGCCCAATGAGAAAGATGACAGCGGAGTCCTTACTTTATTCGCCCTATGAAAGAGTTTCAAGAATCGGCTGACTGGCCCACTTCTTCTTTGTAGCAAATGATAGTATTTCTAAAGGGAAATTATACAGAGGAGGATGCAAATTGTATTTGAAATGCGTCGATGCTTACGTCCATGATTACAACTCTCGACCTGTTGCCGTCCATCTCAAAAATAATGACCCATTGAAGGTTCGACTGGTGGGCAACCAGAGTCTTGAGTGGAACTAGCATGCTGTCGAGTAAGGACAACACCATTATCAAATATCTCCATCGATGAAGGTTATTAGCGGTTGAATGATTTTTGCCAAGAATGATATCGAGGCAAAGAAAACCGTGATTCTTCATTGAGTCACAAACTTCGCTGGTAGCAGTAGTAATCTAGTAGCAAGAAATAGACCAATTTTCATATCCTTATAATTTAGGACCCGTAACCGGCCCCTATCACTGCACTTACAATTCTTGTCAAATGAAACGTATCAAAGAGTCAAACTTGGATCGTAAACAACAAATGCGTCGGGCTTTAATTGGTATGTGGTCTTTGCTCTATAAGGCCTTTTTTGCTGTGAGTGTTCCCATCCTCCCTCCACTATCCCTACCAATTTTGAACTGCCCAAGGTTACGGGAACAGGGCTTATGAATTTCCGCTTGAACACTCATTCGCGCAATCCCCATCCCCGGGGGCAGAGTCTGGACCTTCCACCTACCGTAAGTATTCCCATTGTCCCCAGTATTCCTGCCAGATTAGATCGCTCTTGTTCCGAGAGAACAGAAGTTCTTATTTCCCCTCAAACCCGCCCATTGTGGGGGGAGTCCAATCTTACTACCCACCACAAGTGATCCCATCCTACCGCCCTCCACTCCTGCCAAATTTGAGTGCTCCAGACACACGGGAACAGGAATTTTTATTTAGGGTTCAAACATTTCGCACAAACCTCGCTCCTTGTGGGTGTGGTCTGGTACTGCCACCCACCACAAGTGTTGCCATTTTGCCGCCTGTACTCCTACCAAACTTGAGTGCTTCAGGTCCACGGGGTGGGAGTTATGAATCGTCGGTCGGACACACACACACTTATACACACGTACACAAACATACACATACACACAGAACCACACACACAACCACTTGGAGGAACGATTAACTTGTGGTTGTATTTGCTGCAGACGTCGTAATCAATGACGCATTCTCAGCAAATTAATGATTGAATATTATGTCACCACTCAGGTCGCCCAGCTTAGCTGAGCCTCATTCCTGACTTTCACAGAGTGGCTAGAACATTTCTTTGAAGGAGGAGGGGATTCGCTCTTACCCAACAGTGAAGATTCAAGTACGGAGGAGGAGGGGTACCCACCTTGCCTGTGCTCAGAAAGGGTTAAGGCAAAAGAATATAGATTTGATCTGAGGGTAAGGAGGAGAGGACCGAAGCGGTGCAGGAGAGATGATTACTTCGTGTAGAAAGCTAGGATGGGGTATGAGTTGAATATTCTATTGACTCATCCACCCCTCCTTTCCTCCTGATAGGCCAAAATACTGCATATTCTCGCCTGAGAATTTTTTCTAAGGAATTATGGATTCCGATTTTTGTAAAGACATGCATAGCACGATGCCAGTGCAGTTTGAAATCGCAGTTTTGAAGTAACTTCTCTCCATATCACTCACATCTTCCTCAGTACCCGCTCTACTTCATTAACCCTCACCAATTTACTGCCTTATGCATAAGAAGGAAGTGTAGTATAGAGCTGTTTTTCATATCCCTACCTTTACCGTAATCACAAACTTTGCGGACGGGCACACCGACACACCGACATACCGACAAACGCCCAAACTGACAAACCGACACACAAAGTTACTGCTTTATAAATATGAGGGACTAATATAATATTACATATTATATAATATAACATACAATATTATATTGTGCGAGGTATTGCGATACACGGTAGTCATAGAGCTGGTGGCGCTTAATTGAGCAAGCCGATATTCTGGGTGGAACATGTGACCGCTGGATCAGCCATGGAGATGAACGAAAAAAAAGCGGATCTGCAGTTTTCTTGTTCTCTTGCGGATATTAAGGGAAGAGGGAAACACGCTTAAAGCAAACGGCAAAGGGTTCCCATCGATATGCCGCTATTGAGACTTAACCTCATCTTTGCGGTTTATCTATGACTGGAAATAGGTCTATCTAATATGGTGTCAAGCCACACTTTGCCGGTTTGTCGTTGCATGCTGTCAAGTACCTCACAACCCAGACTCCTAAAGAGGCCTGCCGTGCACTCTCTCATTCTTGCATTCTCATGTTAACATATGACAGACGAACGAAGGAGGCAGCTAAAGAGGAAGCTTGAGGACTGATTTATTTTTCGATTCTGGCCCGCTCGCTTTTGTGCATATCCCGGCTGTCATGGATATATGACCGTTTTCACCAGGGGCTCGAATCCCGGATCGATGCCCGCCTAGTCCAACCAAACCTTCCATCCTTCCGAGGTCGGTGAATTGACACCAGACTCGTCTGGGAGGATAAAAGCACTGCCTTGTACATTGGCTGGCCACCGCAAGTCATTGTATAGGCTACATACGCACTCATTACGCCACTACGATTCCGAATGGAAGTCGAGTGTGGGGGCGCATCCCTCAGATGGAATTGATTAGAGCCAAAAACTTTATCCTTTTATCCTTTTAATGGTTGGTAAAAGGTTGTAGAATATTGCGTTGCGTAATGATATAGTCACCCATAAATTTCGCCAAAACTCATGTTCTAGGACACTTCAGGAGAAGGCTTAAAATGGGGCATGTTCCCTACCCGATCCGTAACATGTACACCAACAACGAGTTCTATCTCAATGACATGGACAATTTTCCCTTCATTTTGCCAGGAAATTTGACCATGTCTACGTTGCAGAATGATACAGCCGCTGACTTGAATCAGGGCATTTCCCTGCATGAATACGAATTTCTGCTGCCGATTCCGACACCAAAAAGGGAGAAATCACTGCGCATCATGACTCAATAACCGGGAGANCTGAACATCTTCGGAACGAACCATAAATGAAGACCTTAACGAGAAGAAATCGCTGCCAGTACCATGTCTTCTGCTCCCTCGAAATTTCGTCTAGAAAACTGAAGCTTATCCTTTTCCAGATCGTGCCAGTAGAACGGTACAGTTGAAGCTTTTCCACTGAAAAAAAAACAAAATGGAGAAGGGAACATCACGAAAAAGAAGAGTAAAGGAGTAGCCATGAGAAGGCACCTTACTCTTGTCAGATGCAGTTTTGGCAAAAGCGACCGGTTATCGCGATGCTTTTTCGACATAAAGAATGTCTTCCTCATTTTTCGTTAGTGATGAACTCAGACTTTTCTGAAACAATCTACATGTGAAAGAACATTCGGCTAGCAGACGAAGGTCTTGCTCGGTTGCACCGCTTGGGAAGCACAGAAGAGAAGGTCATGCTGGTTGTGACTTTGACGTTAAATGCACGATTTTGGCCTACGAGGACAGCATTGGTGCCAGAAAAACTCCCGAGGCTTTGTGGATAAGACACCGAAATCCGAGCTTGAATAACAAGAATGAGTGCATCAACATAGCTGGTGACCTCTTGCCTCTGTGTGAGCTTTGATAGTAGAGACTGATACGCGTCACGTCACGATACTATAAATAGGTCGTGGTTGACCGGGCTGTCTCAATTGCTCTATCGTCACGTAACTTGAGCAACTGTTCGGTATTGGTGGAATTGACGTGAGTGACTTGTCGGAGTTTCTTAGTAGTTGTAAGTTCATCAGCCTGAGTTGCAACTAGTTAAGAGCTGGTCTACGTCGAGCGTGATAGGTAACATTCTAGAGTTGCGATACGCTTTCAGGCCTTCGATAACGATGAGTTAGTCGAAACGTCAGGCGAATAAAGATTCCACCATTGCTCAGAATGCTTCGCTTATATCCTTCTGAATGTAACGGAAGTTCCGAGCGATTCTGCGACTCGACATACCCTGTTCCTCTTTTGCAAGAATTTAACCTTCTTTGAAATCGGATTACACCTTTTCTTTACCCATTACTGAAATTGGAAATTTTGACTCAAACTAAGCGATTGTGTGAGGTGAATATGGAAAACGACGGGAATATGAAGTGGGTGTATCATTGCAAAATAGGCAAAGTAACCTTTTCCGAAAAAATAAGTGGGAAATTGTTCATGGTTTTTGGCACGCTCATTTCAAAGTTCTACGAACTGCTCATCTTATTCTGCACGAACTGCGGAGCTTCGCTAAGCTCATGTTGCTCCATTCAACTGGCTCATAAACAAAGCATGACTCATTCTCTTCATGTACTTATTCAGGTGGTATCGAATTTTAGGACCCTCGGATTGAGTCACACAGACATAGCGTTTGATACGTGGCAAGGATCACATGCGATATGCATTAATTTTGAAATTTCTTTACTGATTGGCTGGAAGGGCGTCAGTGAAAGGAAAATATGTACTCGTGTGGTAAGCTAGCTAAAGTCAGATAGTGGTAAGAAGTCACAAGCAACCTGACGATCCTGTTGTATGCCACAATATTGCAGCGGCTGCAATTCAAATTGAGTGATTTTCCGCAACAAATGGCTTCATTTTCGATAATACAAATTATTTTGGCGGAAGGAACGCATGCATTTGGCACAATTTATTGTGATTTTCACAAAGAAATCAGCATTGTGTAATCACCCATAGCACATGCGTTGGTTAAAGCCTGTCGCCTATGTGTTAGAAAGCGTTTAATGATGAGGTTAGTTGTAAGAGCCAGGCGACTACTTCCGGGAATCGAGTGTGATCTAAAGAAATGTGCTGCCATTCGTATCTGTCGGAAGCTTGGCAATAGCACCATATTTGAGGAGGGTCTCTAATCTTCTCTCATCACTAAGACTATGTTCTACTGAAGCCAAGTGGACATCAATTGTCTCTGGTTCGAGAAGAACAACATCCTGAAGCATGAGCCGACGCGGATCGATCACCTACAAACAAATATTGACAGACATTCCTTTCACAAACAGACTAAGTCAAAGGAGCGACAGAATAGTAAATTTATCGGGTTGGCAACAGAGTAATAGCTAAGGCTTTGGAAAAATATGATTACCTCCTTCCGGCGGAGAAAATTTTTTATTCTGTGAAATTCAGACCAAAAAATGCTGACCGTACCTCTACGGAAAATATAAATTGCTGTGGAGAAACAGGTAATTATCCTTTAAAATCAATGTATGAATTACCTATAACAATTCGCAATTAGTTGCCAACCTAATAATTCAACGGTCATTCGGTTTAGGGAAAAATATAGGATCTATTCTTTCTATACGCCCAGCAACCAGAAGCAGTGAAGTCAATAGCTCGGTAAGACCGAGTCCAATCACAATGAATATTATATGAACTGGCATACATGTAAAACTATAAGTTTCTAGAAGGGTTGCACTAGAACACTATCTTAGCCAGGATTGCTAACAGGAAGAATTGTTTGAGAAGCGTCTACATGGGAGATTATAGTTCATGGCGTTAAATCCTACAAGTACTCTAGGGTGGCCTTAGTGGGTGAAAAACTAATGTCAAGGACCTCGCAAACGTTGTCTTTGAGCAAATCTTATCTTTCTATAAATTGTGTTATTGGGCACATTGCTTATAAATTGCATTATGTGAGGAAGAACAGGGCGAACTTCCTCTGAGTTGCAGCATTCAAACAAACAATTTTCTAAAGTTCGGACATACAAACATTCTAGTGGTGTGATGACCATGAAAAAAAGTTTGTTTTTTTTTGTGGAATTATCTTTCAGCGATAAGGCGATAAACACTGCTTCAAACTAAACCTTAGCGCTCAATGACGGATGATCGAAGCTCTCCTTTTCACGTGTTATTACCGTTTGCGTTCGCTTTACGAAAGATCGCATACGAGACGTGTTTTTGTACGCTTTTTTAAAACAAGGGAATTTATGTAGAAATGTCGTTCTGTAGTCGGTAGAACAAGCGCAGAACACATAGAACTGTGAAGCGTGATTAGTAATTTCAAGAATATTAGCCACAGCTCGGAATATCTGATAGTCTAGTCGTCGCTTGAGTACCTGAATGATTAAATCGCCTGAACTGAATTTTATGCCTGAATCACTTACTTCATCTATGAGTAACAAATTGATTGCGGCAGGAATATTACAAAGTAACGACATGAAAACCGTTCCACCCAACATGTACATTAGAGTGTCATCCTGAAAGCATGATTGATTACTGTCTTCAAGTCATCGTGGAGAAAAGTCATACGCACCTTGTGAGCTCCCTGTTCTTTTCTTTTGGTCAGCTGTTGAAACATTCTGAGACGTTTTCGAAATGCAACTATGATCTGAATGTTGAGGATAGAAAGAGCTATAATCGGTAGGAACCTTAAAATTGTTTCTCTTGTCCACTTGTAAATCTGAAAGAAAGCTTTGCCTCGCTCTGAGTGGGGAGTAATGCAAGAACCTGAGTACCTGCCATGAAGTGGTTCTGTACACTTGGTGATCGTCAATTTTGTATGTAATGGCATTCGCGTTTTCATCCCATTTCTCAATGCTTTTGTATCGTGTCAGTGCATATGGTACGTACAATAGTGCAGGAATAGTGAAGGCCATTATGATCGCGTTTGACGCTCGAGTCGGAGAATTCCATGCACGGAAATGCATAGGAAACACTATGGAAATATATCGCTCTAGTGATAGAGCGACTACAACGTACACTCCAGCTCCTAGAGCCCAGTTTATGAGCGTGAGCATGAAATGACACTGATAAATCCTGTACAATTTGTACTGATTTATCGGGGCACCATTTTTCGAAAGGATCTCTGTTGTCACGAAGGCCAGCACGAATACCATACATAATAAGTCGGCAATTGCTAAGGCTCTGAGATACATATACGAAACCGCTCGCAGCCGACGACTATTCAATACAATGAGATTGGTTATGTTGCCTGAAAGACACACTTGGTCAGTGCTTTTCTCTTTAGTGAGTGCTAGTTGCCCTACCTATAATTCCAACAGTGCACACTACAGGCAGTACATAACAGTAGGCAACATTAGCCACAGCTGCTGCTCCACTCAGTGATGTCGAGTTCATCCTTACTAGAAATGACTTCAAAACTGGCTTCAAAATGTAACGCACTTACTTTACTTTATTCGATCATACGTAAACATATGTAACTCGTCATCACGTAGTACAAGAGCAAGAATGAACAGAAGTTATCCGAAGCTGGTACAGTGATTAATATACTACAGTAAAAATTGAAGACATGTTGCATGTAACTCGAAGGCACGAAAAGGGAGTGTGGCGTCGAAATTGCAAGTCTTGTGCAACCGGAAGGAAGCGAGCCCACTGCGCTCGTTAAAGAGTCCCGCTTGCATCAACTGTTCTCTATGAAATCTTGCCCATAAACACACAAACTGGAAATTGCTGAAGAAAGGACTCGTGGTAGCTTCTCGTTACTGGATTATGACAGTGGGCCATTCCCCCATCATTTACTTTATATTCAGGGAAACAGCATGCAAAGTAACAAGTAGGATGAATGGCAGGAAGCACTATATTACTGTGAGATGTCTCGCGAAAAGAGGAAGGATAAGCCATGGTAGTTCCTTCAACGTAATCATCCTTCCTCTGGGTGATTATGTGTGATCTTGAATCTATGAAGAATCATTTTGCAAATATTCGTGGAGTGAGTTGCAAATTACTTCATCAATGAAGATAGTGAAGGTATAGCGAAAAGAATCCACAAGCGATTCAAGACGTAAGAGAAATATGAAATACGCAGGGAGGGAGAACAGTGTCGTGGAATATAGCCAATAATCATAGTTGAAAACAATCCAGCAGCGGCGAAGGATCATTTGCATTTACAAAGATATACCAATTCTCGCCCCTTCTCTTGTACCTTCGCTTTCAAGAAAAACTCAAGGTCGAATACAAGACTGATCTGAACGCTTGAAAAAACCATGTCTTACGATGGTAGTGTCAACAAGCAGGATCGTTCTTTGCGATCGATGCCCATCGACAAGCATTTATATGGGGAGGACAATTACCAAATCTTCATGAATTTCGAGGGATTTTCATGTTAATTGGCCCTCGCGCTAATCTGACAAAAAAGGCTGTAATTATCCAGGACAATTGGGTTTGTCTTCTGGATTTTGGATTTACTCAGTCTCGTAGACTGACGTTGGAATACTTTATAGGCTCACTTTTTGGCGAAATCAGGCTTACCTGCCCTCAGAAGACATGAACGAATGCTAGCACTCATAACATCCGAAATTGAGGTTCACAAAATGGCCCCACGCTCTTTCTCTTATGATTGCTCAATCGTGGCCCATCGGTCGTTCCTTTTCGATCATAAGCATAATAAATTTCTTGTGCAATATAATAATGCGTTGAGCTAGTGTTATTAACTTTTTGATACCTGAGTAAGTTTCCTCAAAAGAATTCGAAGATGCGATTATAAATTCTATAAGCCTGAAGGTCCACCCGCTGGCCTACCACCTCAACGCGGTGGGTGTGTGGACGTGCGGCGTGTGGGCGTGTCCGCTTTACCATTCTGTTTAAATAAAAAAAACCGGGTTTTGTAATTTTTTAGTATTTCATCATATGCTCCAATGCAAAGTTCCGGTAATTTCCAGTTATGCGAGGCTTTATATTGACCGGCTTGCCGCTTCGCGTTTGAAGCTGTGGTTAGGTAGTTGTCGATGAACTGGAAGGATGGCGGCCCCCTTGCTTGAGTCCCCCTTATCCGTCCGCCCGAGGTCGCGGTTGAGTTCGTTCTTCACGCGTTAAGTTGCACACGGCAAGCCACGGTAAATTACGTCTAAATCACTGCGTTCTGGATTAAGGACAAGGACTCGCTCGGGGAAATATCTTCCTACCAAAAGGGAGGCAACCTGTTGCCCTGCCATATGCTTTCGTCTTTAACATCAGATGTCGGCTTGTTTGGTCCGAAAGCTCTCGCCAGCATTTTCTACTGTTCGATGGTAACCTTGCTTGGAGCTTTCATTATCCATTTAATTATATTTATAAAAAAATATGTATGTATATAAATTAACGGCACGTCTGCCGTCCACACGGCTAAGAGTAGGCCCCCCACGTGCTAGAGCCTGGCAAGTTACACGTGGATATTTATGCCAAAAACAGTAACAGAAATGGGCCTCATTCCCCTGAACCTGAGGGAGCCCCCAATACGGCGGCGTTGGGTAGGACCGCTCGGGAGAGGCTGCTAAAATCTCAGGGCCAAAA